TCATTCCTATTTTCTCTAAAATTGCAGCTGAAATCTGCATGCTTTTCTTTGTTGCCCAGCAAACAATAAATAAACACATAATTAAGGATGGCCAACCTGTTTTATTTCAGACAAAGACATCCAGTATCTGCAAATAAAATACAGTACTTTCAGTAAAATAATATCCGGATTGAGAATTATTTGAAACACTGTTCATAGTAGGATATCTATCAAACAGAATTCATACTCTCCTCACCTAATGTCATTATAAATGAATGATGTACCAGGATTATGTTTTCATTCATTAATTACTTCATTCAGTTTTATCCTCCAGAGGAAACGATGAAACATTCACTGACCAGCCACAACATTAAAATCACTGATAGCATAATAACATTAAATCGTTACAATAGCACCTGTCAAAGACTGGGATATATAAGGCAGCAGGTGAAGAGAGAAAAAAGTCACGCAAAGAAAGATAACTGGTGAACAAGAGTCAAGGTCATTGGCGCCCAATGCTCATTGATGCAGGTACAGGGATGAAGATTGCTGAAAAACATAATACTGGCCATGATAGAAAGGTGTCAGAACACACATTGCATCACAGTTGCTGCTTATGGGGATGCACAGCCACAGACCGATGAGAGTGCCCATGTTGACCACTGTCGGCCACTTTAATAGGGACATGAGCATCAGACCTGGACAATGTAGCAATTGAAAAAGGTTGCCTGGTCTGATAAATATTTTTTTTCTTTTAGATCAAATGGTTGGCTGGGTACATGTGCATTGTTTACCTTGAGAAGAGATGGCAGCAGATACTCATAACTCCCTTTACAGTCTGAGGCCACTAACTGTGGTGCAAGCTGACATCTTTGGATAAAGTGGCATGCTGGGGCAGAGTCAGAAATATTGTGGTGGATTCAAAATTATTTATAGGGCTATCAGCAGTACTCACTTTGCCATCAAGGGGTCGAAAAAACCATCATGTGGTTGTTAAGTGTTTAACACATGAAATGACACTTATTTCAAAACAATGTGAGGCATATGCAAGCAAAAGTCAAGGTCAAGTTCAGTAACAAAATGATACTGTGAATCATAGTGGTTACTTTACCATCTTCCTCAAGTCTTTTATCCTTCGTTCTAGTAGGACCATGTTTTTCTTTCAGTGTAGGCACCTGCCTAAAGACGCATTCTTGATGAGAGTGCCTATTCTGCCTGTTAAAAGCCACCTCCTTACCTCCTTCCCACGGTCTTCTATTATAGGACTCTGGAATCACTGTATTCTACATTAATAATAAGATTTTCAAAATCAACTCTGATCAATGAACCTGTGCCATAATTTCCATTCAGTGACTGTAATTTGTCAAATAAAAAAAAAGTTAAAGGGACACTATAGTCACCAGAACAACTACAGCGTATTGCATTTGTTCTGGTGAGTAGCCCTTCAGGCTTTTTGCTGTAAACATTGTCTTTTCAGAGAAAATGCAGTGTTTACATTACAGCCTAGAAATAACTTCACTGCTAGAGTTGCTTCATTATGCTGTCTTGCCTAGTGTGCATCACAACATATCAGTGTCTCCAGTCTCTGCAGACACTGAGCTTTCCTCATAGAAATTCATTGATTCAATTAATCTCTATGAGGAGATGCTGATTGACCAGGGCTGTGTTTGACTTGTGTTGGCTCTGCCCCTGATCTGCCTCCTTCACAGTCTCAGCCAATCCTATGGGGAAGCATTGTGAGTGGTTCAGAACAACACTTCTGATGATGTCAGAAGACAGCTTGCAGGTCTGAGGCAGACAGGGGCAGAGCCAGCAGTTACAGGCTTGAATACAAGTAAAATTGTATTATATTTAGGGAGGCAAGAGAGGGGCAGGGTGGCTATATGGTGGTTTTAACACTATAGGGTCAGAAATATATGTTTGTGTTCCTGACCCTATAATGTTCCTTTAAACAATTAATCTATTATGCATGCATATTATATTTTCTTTAAAAAGGATTCTGTACTTAAAGTGACACGCCAGACACCTACAGCATTTTAGCTTGCTTAAATGCTTGATGTGTGAAGAGTGTCCTCTTTTCTCATTTCGCAAAAAGTGCAAATTTCAATTGGAATTGGTACTTTTATAAATTAACCTTATAAGACCCCCTTGGTGTTCACGTGTGCAACAGATCCTGTTACTTCCTGATTAATTTAGCTCAGTGGAGCTAAACTCAAGAGGCAGCAATTACCTTGCAAAGACTTCTCATTAAGCTGCATTGGGAACTCTGTAATTGGACAGCCACATATAGTCTGAAGAATAAGAGGAGGGCTTGCAAATAAAGCAGACAAGAAAACTGCAGCTTTTGCTAGCTGTTTTATCTATCCCCAATTTAAAATATATAATTAATCATAATGCATGTTTTCTTTTGAAGTAAATCTACTAAACAGTGATATAACTGTTGACCCATGACATACTTGAAAATGAGAGAAATGTATCCATCCTGGTAAAATATTTTATAAATAAATAAATTTGGGCAGTGGAGGGTCCCTTTAAAGTATTCAAAGTCAATGGGTTTGTTTGTTCATTTATTTAAAACAGAATCCTAGTGAATTGAAAATGAAATTATGATGTGATAATAGCCAAATTGAAGATATCTTCCAAAATAGCAAGTTGTGCCTAGATTATGCAATTTTAATTTTAATTCACTTCAATTGTTTAGTGATTAAACACCAATGTGAAGTAAATAGATATGTAGAACAGAACATATACAACAGTGGTGAAAGAGGAAAAAGTCCTTCAAGGGACACTCCAGGCACCCAGACCACTTCTGCCCATTGGAGTGGTCTGGGTGCCAACTCCAACTACTCTTAACCCTGCAAGTGTAATTATTGCAGTTTTTTATAAACTGCAATAATTACCTTGCAGGGTTAACTCCACCTCTATTTGCTGTCTACTAGACAGCCACTAGAGGGCACCTCCTGCTTTCTAGCACAGAGCTATGTGAGCTATTCTTCCTCACGCTATGTGAGGACCTCCAGCGTCGCTCATTTCCCCATAGGAAAGCATTGAAATTGTGGCGAATGCGCATTAGGTCTCCCCGGCCGGTGGGCAGGATCAGTCTCGCCCACCGGCCGACTCAATGCAGAGGAGAAGCGGCGGCGGAGGAGGAAGCAGTAGCAACGTGGGACATCGTCGCTGCTTCAGGTAAGTTACTGAAGGGGTTTTCACCCCTTCAGCAACTGGGGATTGGGGGGGTGGGAGGAAGAGGGGACCTGCAGTGCCAGGAAAACTGATTGTTTTCCTGGCACTGGAGTTTCCCTTTCACAAAAGTTGGATTGGTTGACAGGTATTATAGGGCATAACCCAAGAAAATGATAAATAGAGAGACTAGAATGGGTAAACTAAACAGTGCTCTCAAAATCTGCCCCAATACCCTGATATGAATTGCTCTGCCAGTATCAGGCAAGGAAGTGCCAGTTTAAAGAGCATCAAAAGAACTATAATTTAATTTTGTATTAATCCCTGTACGGAACATTAAAGAAATTCAATTAAAAAGGTGTAGTGTGTAGAGGTTTGAATGTGGATTTTGAAATTACTCCCTTTTTATAATATATTTTTTAGATGTATTATAATTATATTATGTATTTTAATCTACTATTATTTTCTCTCCCCCTTTTTCTCTCCTCATATATATATCCCTGTATTGTTAATGAGCTCTATTTTATCTTTTTAGAGATACTATTTTTTATACTATTTTTAATAGTGTATATATGATAAATTGATAGAGTGATTATTTTTATATTTGTGTATTTATTTACTCTTATTTTAAATATATGCTCGATGGATATATGTATGGACATATTAATCAAAGACATCTGGAGTAAATATTGATTTTATTCAAGATCGGGACTTTATTGAAATGTAAGGGAGTTATGATTTTTGCCCGAAAGTATCCCGTGATAGGCCACATGACCGGAAGCCGGAAATAATGACTGAGATTGAAGACGTACTGGAACGCAAGAGAAACACTGTCCGCTGACCCGGAAGTGTTTGAAGAGACGCAACGCAACGTGACCAGAAGTTGGAGGTCGGACAGCCGAAATCCGGAAGTGAACCGGAAAAGAAATCACAGCGCGCCTTTTTGTAACTATATTTAAATGTTTAATTTGTTTGACATTGTTAGCACTTTGATAAAGACCGCTTAGGTTGAAACGCGTTAGTGCAATAATTTGAGAGATTCCATTTTATATGCGATTGTTGGCGAATAAATTTGTTCCTGTATTTCCTGACTCGACTTTCCATTCAGTCACAAAAGGGAATTTTCACAGTGATTTGCCTTTCCAGCATTTTGGTCTCCATAATTTTTACAAGGCGCTTATAGTCTGAGCCACTGAACGGCTCAGTACCACGTGAGTGGACAATTTTACACTTAATTATTTTCTGTATATTTTATACAGGCTATACTATGTTCCTTATTTTCTATTTTTAGGACATTACAGCCATATGGTAATATTGCCTGCTTTTATATCTATCTTATCTGGTGTATAGAGTTTGCTCTCACTATATTATTATTGTATTGTAGTGTGTAGAGTGTACAAAAAATAAAGAAAACCAAAAATTATAATGTGAATGTGCTAGGACCAACTGCTGATATTCAAAACTACAGAATCCAAGTATTATATTAGCCACCTATGTGGTAATACGGGCTAGAGTAAATAAAGTATATTGTTGCCACGATTAATTCGCACCAAATTATCAAAACTAAGCCTGAAGTTGCTAAGAAGTGGATACTGTCAAGAGAATATATGTTTAAACACACTTGTTAATTATATATACCCAGATAGGCACCTTAGAGAATAGAGTAAAATGTGCTCCGGGTATAATACTTGGTGTTGGAAACTAACTCCCAAGTAAGTGTACTGGAATTATTTCACTCGGTCGGCGGGTCTTTAAGCAAAAAAGATCTGATGGGTAGTGATGTCCCGAACGGTTCGCCGCAGACTCATCATTGAGTAAACTTTGACCCTGTACATCACAGTCAGCAGACACATTCCAGCCAATCAGCAGCAGACCCTCCCTCCCCCTGGACATCATCCATTTTACATTCATTGTGAAGCTGCATTCTTAGTGAGTTGTCCAGGAGGTGGGAGGGTCTGGGAGGGAGGGTCTGCTGCTGATTGGCTGGAATGTGTCTGCTGACTGTGAGGTACAGGGTCAAAGTTTACTCAATGATGAGTCCTCGGCAACCGTTCGTGGGAACCGTTCGGGACATCACTATTGATGGGATATCTGGGGAAAGAGAAGGTCAGTGTATCCCATATTTGTATATAATTCAGTCGGGAAGCTAACCCTATGGAATGACCAGAGTCACAAAAATTAATACCCCAATTATAATATTCCGTATTGAGCTAAATAGTATAAGTTGTAGATAGTGTATACTACACTTATGCTCTTTAATGAAAAGTACTCAAAAATACAGCGTAATCTCTGTATCCCTAATATGTATAGGAGGAAGCAAATTGTACTTCAAATAGGGTACAGTACACTGTTTTAGATTCTAGCCAGACGTGAAGTGGGTTAGGGTCTGTATAACTTCAATAATACCCACTGTTTCAGTGCACAATCGCTCCCACCATGCTGATTAGTATGGGAACAACTGAATCCCGATATCTACTACTAAGTGGTATTAGGAAGCTGTCTGAGTAATCAGTTCCCAATCGTTGGTCAAATATGTAGATAAGATTTCTTAAACAAAAAAAGGAATAAACTTTCAAGTGAATGTTATCCAATTATAGACCAGGATATTAATCACACTAGTCCAAACCTTGGTGGAGACAGAATAAGTCTGACGATGTATCTGTCTCTCACTATGCTGACTAGAAAGATAAAAGCGGTCTACTGTTGCTGCTATGGATCCTAGTGCTAAGTTCTAAGATGTGTAGAACAGCGCTATATATTCAGACTGATATTCTATACGATTGGTGGAAACAAGGTATTTTTGGAGAACTGAATGGCATAATGTTACTTTGTTAACATAAACAGAACGTCAAGTATTCAGTGAACATGTTTAACATATTTCCTTTTGAACTCCAAATTATTTACAGCTTCATATCTTAAGAATTGTGATCGTGACTATCAGGTGATCACATTTGCATAACATCATTTATGAAAAGAACTTCTAAAGAACTCTCAATCTGTATTTTATTACTAGGAACATTTGAATAACACAAATACACAAGAGATGACTCCGTGTTAAAGGTGAAGAAATGTGTAAATGAAAAAGAAAACAGGATGGAAATTTCTGAAACCACAATATATTTTAAATAAGAACATTGTAATATATAAAATAAAAAAAAATGAATGGGATTCCAACTTGACAGGAAAAAAGGGATGTATTGATATTAGTTTTTGTAGTTTATTTTGTAATACTTGCAGGATTTCCATGAGGTTAGTTCAGGTTTCTGTGCAGCTCACAAAAATATAATAAACAAAAATGGGAGCTCAATTGTTTTAGTAAAACTATTATTTATTTTAAAACTAAATTTAAAAATATGGGCAATTCAGTTCCCAATAATAGGAGCCCACAGATGGATTAAGAAGCGTCTGTTATCCCTCCTGAGTTAAACCTTGCAGTGCAGGATTAGCTCTTTGGCAGAGAGTGTCAGCTGATTACTCTCAGCCAATAAGCTAAACTCTGCACAGCAAGGCTTAGCTCGGTGCTTAGCTTAGACAGAAAGCTTACAACTCTCTCTCAGAAGTAGTGAACAGAGGGATTTTACCAGGCAGACCCCGGGTAAAACCATTCTCAAATGTTTTGACTCCTTACAATAAGGGACACCAGGGCACTCCTGACACCACAACCACTATAGTGTGCTGTAGTGACGATGGTGCTTGGAGTGTTCTTTTCAGATCATATTCATGAGCTGCCCTGAATGGGGCTGTCTTAAGTAACTAGTAAGTAATGCTTGTGTGCTCACAAACTAGGCTGACATGCCCCTTTTTCAGCTGGCTGCTCACTTTCTACATTTATTTGTAGCAATACACTTTAACAGGAAATATATTAAAGTGATACAGTGATACAAGTTGTGTTCCTTTAAAAAAATATTTTCAGTGCAATTTATTAAAGGAACACTCCAAGCACCATTAGCACTACAAGGTGCAGTAGTGGTTAAGGTAACTGGGATGCCGTTACACACCCCTCCCCCATTGTAAGTAGTAAAACTGTTTTATAATTTTTGTTTACTTACCTGGGGTCTGTCAGGTGCGGCTCGGTGCTTGCACTACTTTTACTAGAGCCATGATATCTTTGTTTGAGCAGAGGTGTATGGCTTAGCTCATTGGCTTACTTATGGATTTAAGGGCTTAGCTCAGGAGAGCTAATGTAAGTATCTACTCAGGAGCTTCTGTCTCTCTGGCGGATGTAGTGCAGGCTGTGAGCGGCATCTTGTGCATGCCAGGTAAGAAGTCAAACTGTTCTAAAACTGTTTGACTCCTTACAAATTAGGGAAGTGTAAGAAAGAAATATGGAAAGGAGGAGTATGGGCAGACTGAGAAGCATGGGAAGGGGACAAAAGAGCAGAGTGACATCAGGAGACATGGGCAGAGGGATACAAATGGGAAAAAAGAAGGGTATGGTCAGTGGGATATGAGTGGGGTATATTAACTCCCCAGAAATGCACTCCTGCATTGCCACATGGGCACGTCACATAGATAGATATACCTCTATATTCACACACTGACATTCAGCACAAATACACCAATACATTCAAACACTGGTATTTAGTACAAATGCTAGTCTACATTCACATACTGGACTTCAGAACAAATACCCACATATTCACATATTGGCACCTTATACAAACGCCACATTGCATATACACACCAACACTCTACACAAGTACACCACTGCTTTCACACAGTGGCACTCCACTCGTAAAACCAGCAGTTCCCAGACAGTGTGCTGCGGCACCCTGGAGTGCCGCGACAGGCACACAGGGGCGCCGTGGAATGTTTCCCATGTGCTATGATTATGGCATGGGGGAAACATTACTGCTGAACAGGGGCCTGGTCAGGTGCTGCGGTCCTTTAAGACCGCGACCAGACACCTGTAATGTCGGTCGGCTGGGAGGAAGTGACAGCCTGTGATCATGCCTGCACAGTATTGCCAAAGTATTGCCAAAGTACTAATATACCTACCCAGTGGAAGAATGAAGAATGTTGCACTGTATACAAGTTTAAATAAAAAGTATACAAACAACCAGGATTCAGCTGTAAGCATTTGCAACACTTACAACAATCAAGTAACACACATTCATATAATGAACTTAGCCAGTTAATGGAATGACAGGAATGAATAAGTAGATAACTCCCTAATTCCCATGGTATTAGGGAGCTATCTACCAAAAGGCTGAAAGACCTAAATTAGTCTTAAAGCCAAATTTACTAATACTAAGTAAAAATTACTTAGTATTAGTAAATTATGCCCCTACTCGCTATACCACGAGTAGGGGCATGTTTAGTAAAAAACAAAAAACGTTTCCCCCCTCCTGAGCAGTGCGAGTGGGGGCTTCTAACCTTCAGGGGGGACCTATTGCCACCCCCCTGGCCCCCACCCATGAATGGCGGGTGGGGGCCCTAAATTAGAATAATGTAGGGGACCTATTGTCCTCCCCCCGGCCTCCTCCCATGAGCTGTGGGTGGGGGCCCTAAATTAGAATAAGGGCTAGAAGGGTGGGGGCCACCCCCCTGGCCCCCACCCATGAATGGCGGGTGGGGGCCCTAAATTAGAATAATGTAGGGGGACCTATTGTCTCCCCCCAGCCCCCACCCCTGAGCGGTGGGTGGGGGCCCTAAAGTAAAATAATGAGGGTGGGTACGGGTCCGAAAGTAAAATAATGTCCTCCCCCCGACCCCAGCCCCTGAGCTGTGGGTGGGGGCCCAAAATACCAATAAGTGGGGGGGCCTATTGTCCTCCCCCCTGGCCCCCACCTCTGAATGGCAGGTATAGCAAGTAGGGGCAGAATTTACTAATACTAAGTAATCTTTTTGTAGATAATTCCCTAATACCATGGGTGCCGAAGTGCCACAGTCAATTTTGGAATGACGAAAATTTTCCCTATGCAAATCCCTAAAAAAGACTATTCCATTCTGTGAGCTTTGAAGTTGCTGTTTACTATATATATATATATATATATATATATATATATATATATATATATACACATGGCCTACATTACAGCCCCTATACCCTCACACTATAGCCCCTATCCTCCCCACAATACCTACCATATATCCCCCCTCTTATACATTTGCCCTGCTTGGGGACATTTCCCCAAACATGACAAGCATCTACTATGACACCAACATACTGGCTTCATTGTCAGTATGCTGGCGTCTGAGCCTATACATCCTAACCAGTGCTAACAGCATTGGCTAGGGAGGATCCACAGCAGCCAAAGCTCATGTGCTGTGTTTGCTGTGCTTAGAGAGCAGGGTGTGTCTCTCCTGCTTTCTCTGTTACTTAATTCTTTAGCACAGGAGTCTATACTGAACATTTAAATGACAAGTGAGAGAAAGACCTCTTATTAAAAAAAAAAAAAAAAAATTTCTTTCCCTTTCCTTGTTTTCAGGGGTTTCCATTTATTTTTTATTTTTAGAGTGATTGTTAGTATATCTCTCTCCTGGTCCCTTTTTATTTACTTTCCGTACCTGAGCCCTACCTGGCAATTTTTGTTTATGATAACTGGTGTTGTTGTATAAGAGTGTACTTCCCATTTTTCTGATGGGAGCTGGTCAATCTATACCCCTTTAGCATCTCAGACTAGCCCATCTCAGTCCTTCTATCTTTTTTTATTACATTAGATTTAATAAAGTTAGGGATCTCTTTTCCTTCATACCCTTTCTCCCTCCCTTGGGCAATAGAGGCTTATGGGTGAGATAGGTGCTCTTTTGGGGGAGATTGGGGCTGAGATGGGGGGATTGGGGATAAGATGGTGAAAGTAGGGGCTAAGATGGTGAGGTTGGAGCTATGATGGGGGAGGTAGGGGCTGAGATGGAGGGGGATTGGGGATAAGATGGTGAAAGTAGGGGCTAAGATGGTGGGGTTGGAGCTATGATGGGGATGGTAGGGGCTGAGATGGAGGGGGATTGATTTGGAGGGGGATTGTTGCTAGGTGCACACGATAACATATCTAAAGTG